AGCGAACGCTGCCCGCCAGCGGCGCCAGCTCTTAATCGCTGGGGTTGGGAGCAGCCCCTTGCCCGGGCGGTGCAGCCGTCCGGTACGCTCCGTTGTCGTTTGAATTAGTGCTCGGAGCGCTGGCGGGTGCTGGTGGACGAGGTCGGCCTAAACACCGCGGTGAGAATGAGGTGTTTTCGTGAGAGGTTGGGGCTCCTTGAAGGAGGTGGAGGTGCCTTGTTCGTTTGACGTCGGGTTGGTGCGCACGTTTGTGCCCTGTGTGTGTTTCAGAGGGCTCAGCTATCGGCACCGTGGAATCCTCCAACAACAGGAAACTCTTAAAAACGCAGCTGCTCTGAAATCCACGTATTGTGCCAAGAAAAAAACACAACAATTTTTGCATGCTTTTTTTAATGTGAATCGTCAGATTAATGTTTTAACTATAGATGCTCTTTTTTTGCTAGGCAATGAGACAGCAGGATAAAGAGGTATACTAAAAAAACACAAAAAAGCCCCACGAGCTTCCTGTGGCCTCTAAGATGCCTTTTTTCCCCCTCTCGCGTTGCCATAGTTCCTTCTGGAAAAACGGGCAATACAATAAAAAGAAATACAGCTAGCATTATGGGCTCTAATCTGCAAGCAAAGATTAGGAGACAGTTGCGTTCATGTAGGAGGCTGTCGGGTGCATTCATTCCGTGTTCAATTAGCTTGTCTAATGATAGCCTGAGTCACACGTTAGATTACTGCACAGTAAAATTTTTGAATCTTTACAAGCCGGTAGTAACCCTTGGTTATTGGGTGTAATAAGCTTAACTCGAGATTTTTCCATAGCTTAATTTTTTTGTGATTTGAAACAAAACACGTTTAATTAGCTTTAATGGATTGCTACATTTATTTGGTCTATGTAGTGCAGAGTGAGAAACATTATTATTGGAAGCTGCCTATTTTAAGTTTTGTGTGTGACAAAACAAATACTTTGTCATGTGTTTCTTTGGATGGTTGAATTGGTAGATTTAAATACTTGGTACGTGGTTAAAACTGAATTCTCTAAACCAATTGAAATCAGTGCTTATACTTAAAGGACTGAGACCTTGAGATGATGAATTTTTGTTAAAAATCCCTTGGACTGAAGTTTAATAGTGGGTACACGCAGTTATTTCTGCAGCGCTTTTAATATGGTGTTTCAAGTGGATGTAACTCATAACTCCTTTGTTACTTCAAACTGGCTGCATTTCTTGCTGCTTTCTAAAAGGCCTTCTACAAACTTATGAATTATGTACTCAACACATTATTGCTTCTGAGACTTCAGAGATTGTTGATGATTATTGTCTCATAATGTGTGTGACTTAGTGGCCTGGTAATAAGAATCTGCTGATTTCAAGTGTTAAGTTTGTTTACTGTTTGTTTTTAGGTATGATGGAGAGGAAGTTTTCGGTGGTGCCCAAAACATTATACAGAAGCAGTAAGGTAATGGCTCTGGATTTTTTTAATTTTGTTGCTCTGGAAGTAACACTACATTTCTATTGTTGATCAAGATAACAAATGCTTCCGTTTCTTACTTGGTTTCCATATTTTTGTCTGGAAAAGTACAGAACGTGTTAAGTGCCAAAGGGTTGTCATCTTTGTATGACTACTGAGCGGAACAAAAAGGAAAAACAGTTATGGTATACTGCATTTTCATAGTTGCCATCAAACTGATGAGTAATTATTTGATGACTTCTTTGCGCTCTTCACTGAGTTAAGGTCAGACCTTAGGTCAGTTGTTTGTAGTTTCATTTCTTTTCCTGCGGCATTTAAATAAGCATGAAGCCCCACATGATAAACCACTTGGTTAACTTGTGCTAAATTATACTGATTTTGGAATTCAGGGTAATTTTTTTCTAGTGCATAGAAAATTTCAATTTGTCAGGTATTGAAGACTGTTCTAGACCAATATTGAATTGTTGTATGAAAAAGTGAATTTTCAGTGCTTGGTGATTGCTTCTGACATAGTAACATGAGATGTGATGCTAGACCACAGCAAGAGACATTTTCTACTTTAAAAGGTAATTTTTGTTTTGTTAATTTCAATTTTAGTCCTTCATGGAAGCACCATCAGAAGTAGAAGAATACTTGGTACACACAAGCGGATTTTCCTGAAAGCTATGTATGTTTTGAATGATCAGTGGGGATAAATTAATGTGATAAATTAGCAAAATATATGTATGATAAAATTAGTAGGTGTGTCATTAGCTTTAAAATTGAGGTATAGTTGTATTTCAGGCATGTTTGACGTGGTCTAGAACTGTATAGGCTGGGGAGTTGGTGAATAGTTTGTGAGTCGCTGTCGGAGGAGCTAGTAAAATATACCTGTCTGAAGTGTTTATACTAAATCTGACAAAGATTACCTCAAGATGGCTTTTAGTTATGAATTTGCACTTTATTGGGAGATTAGTATAAGGAAGTGTTTAGGCTGAGAAAACAAAGGGGACCTCTAGAGACTTGTTAATATAAACAGGTAAATGGTTCTAATTTTTTATTTAAAGAGTGTAGTTGATATTCTCACCTTTTGGAAATGCTAAGAAATAACTTCAGGATCTGTATTTGATTTAATTTGACTTAAATACTTGCAACCAGTGGCTGGGAGGAAGGGGGATCCACAAGAGTAAAACTTGGTTGTTCCTAATCAGTTGTGCTATATTAAGTGTGAACATGTTGTAATTTATTATTTTATTCAAATTTCTAGAATGGCATGAACAGTTTCTAATAATGGGAATGTCAGGTGTCCTGATGAAAGATTCCTGTAGTACAACAGATAGAGGTAATATTTATTGATTAAGCAGCTGATATTTTTTGTTAATTGTAATATATTCCCTTTTCAGTATATCTGCATATGAAAGACAAAAAGCTTATGTTGTGGAATATATGAATGTATGAATTGCTTTGCAGTCCCAGTCACAGATACTTAAGTGGTAAATTATGATGAAACTGCCAAACCTGATATGTTGATGAGAAACTTCATACGGATCTGGCTACTGAGATGAAACCACTTAACTCTTTCAAAAGTCACTTAATCTTTCAGTCATTATCCCAGTTGGTGTGATTTTTATTTCTGTCCCTATGTACAAGCTATATGCCACCACGCTCCAGGTTGTGAATAAGGATGTTGGTACATTATTTAAACTCACCTCAGCTCCATGTTGACATGGATATGTGCTGTTGCAAAAGCTAGCATTTTTAAAGAGCAGAGAGAGAGGGGAAGTGTTGGACCCCTATAATTTGAGGTATCCTGTCTTATAGTGGGTAAATAACAGACATCAGCCGGGTGTGTTAAAAGTGCCCTGGTAAGGAAGTGTTGCTGGTGTTTGAAAGCCAGTGATGATGTTTGTGCTTTGACCCTCTTGGGAGTGTTAACCTGGGGCTCACTCAGATGTGAGCATTTAGGAAAAGTAATGTTAATGAGTAAAGGTGAAATTTGGTGGTGAATTGTAATGAATTCTAATTATATTAAAGCTGTTTCAGCTCCAGAGCTAAACTAATTCAGAAGGGCTAGTATAACATTATACTTGCAGCAGGCAAAAAGCATGCTTGTGAACGCTTACTGTGCATCAAGGGTGTTGGTAGTGGTTTCCCCAAGAACTTCATTCTTGCTGAAGTATCTGAATTTAATCTTTTTTCAAAGAAATTTACTTTAATTGCACTGGTTCCTGAGTATCCACAGTTTCTTTTCTTTAACTTTTTAGAAGTTAAAATCTAAAGCGTGAGGACAAGTTCTAATTTTCCTGTCTTATTACAACTTCTATAATTTTATCCCACTCCTTACTAAAGAAGGTTATATACCTTAAATTAAATACCTTGCTAACTACCAGCAGTTTCTTTTGATGAACAGGCTTCGTCCCAGTATGTGATTGAAACTTCTTGTGCAGCAGTGCTACCTATAAAATGCTGGATTGTTTAGATGGGCAATATTGCAAGTAGGAAGTGGAGTGACTTACATGGCTGATCTAGAGAAGAGTTGGAAGTAGCAAGCCTTGTTAGTGTAACTAACCAGTGCCTTTTATGTCTTTGCAGAGATGCTTGAAGGCTGCTTCTCAATTGAAGGTATGAATTCCAATAAATGTTATGATTAATTTAAAAGCTTGGTGTGGGAGTAATGCTTAAAGCCATTGGTATGTCTGATCAGTGAAGAACCTATCCTGAACCTGATTGATTGCTTGATGAAAAACACATGTGAATCTGACTTCTAAGTTTAGACTGCTCTAACACCAGAACAGGTGAAGTCTTTGAAGATGATAGGCTTCATAGTCTGTACATACCTTGAAACTCAGCAAAACTGCTTTAAATAAGTAATGATAACTTTTGAATGCCTGCTTTAAAAACTGCATTATTGTCAACCCCATTTATAAGCAGGAGGTGACATGTAAACTGTTGTATTACAAATGGCGTATTTGAAGTGGAGTGGGGTTTGTGTGTATCTGCATTACGGAAAATGGTGAAACATTTAATGATCTATCTTGGCCTTTTTTTGAACTTTCAGTTCTAGTTCAGAGGTAGTCTCAATTTTCCTGTTGCTTGCAGGAGAGTCATATGTAGAAGAATATGGTCTGGATGCAGTTTTTTGTTTAATGCTTGCTTGTTGGTGGATTTTAGCTTCTGGAGTTTTCAATGTTTTGATAGAAGCTGAGAACCAGCTATTAGCTAATTTTCAGAAATGAACTTTTTGATTTTCATAGGAGAGGGGGAATTACACTTGATTGGTTAGTTGCCTATCACAGTTTGTAACCAAGTTGAAAAATACCTGGGCAAGAGAAGCAAAAATAAATCTTAGTGTGGCATGACTACACTTCTAAGTTAAGTTTCACAGAACTTGCAGAGTACTGATACTAATCCAACATGTTTAATAATGCAGTTTGGTCTGTATGAGAGACTAAATGGGTGGCAAGTTGTATTTTGAGTGATGGAAGAAAATTTTTCTGAACTAATAAACGTCTCTTTTTAGACAGGAAAATGGTCAAAAATGTAGGAACAAATGCTTTTAGCTTATTCAGGTATGTAACTGAAAAGCTTCTAAACATTTTCTCATTTTAAGTCTAAAGTAACTCTGTGCTTACAGTTTGAGAATTTTTTTGTATTATGACAGTTGATATGCTTAATACACTAATTGTTCAATTGTTATGGTAAGTTGGCATAGTAATTAATTCTGTACACAGTCAGAATTTAAGAACACTTGTTCCACAAGGCACAATGTATGTTGATAGCTGTGCCTAACCTTGGTTAGCTTTCAAACCTACATGAAAAGTTTTAAATAATGCACATTATTGAAATACACCAAAGGACTAGAGAATTTAAATTTTGTATTGCAATCAGAAACCCTATAGAAAAACATACATTTCCTATTAAATTTACGTTTTGTGTATTGCTTTTGTCTCATCTGTGATGATCCTATCCCGAACCTGAATTCCTTGCTGAAAAACCTAATACGGATCCGGAATCTGAGATGAGACTGAAAGATTTAACTTAAACTTTCTGGGAAGTATTATAATGTCTGTGGGGTTTTAGGTTTTCTTACAGAAATGGTAACACCTTAATGTATACAAAGTGTTGCGTGCTTACTTGACCATTGAGATTTCTCTTTCAAATGAACTGTTTTATTTAGACCTTGTTCTCTTTTTCCAGTGATGAGTTGGAACACTTCGTCAGTGCTGCCTGACAAATGTGGATGACCTGTAACTGGAAGGAAGTGTAACACCCAAAGAGTTTTTGTGGCTTGGAGTGGGATGCCATGCTTTTCAAAGCCTGCTGAAACAGCTGCTGCAATTTTGTTTAGCAGATACTGTTTTCATAAACAGCATGTGAACCAAAATCACTGTCTCTGCATATTTAAAATAGCGCTTTTCCCAAAACATTGAGCTGCCCTCTGTAGGAAGGATAGCAGTGATATTAGGGAAATGAGTGTTGAGCTTCAATACATGGAAAAAACCCTGAGACTATTTGCCTTTTTAAAATATTATAAGGTTATACAGACTTGTTATTACAGATTTTCAGTATCAATACAAAACTGTGGAACTCACAGGTAGGCCCTGTAAAGATGGGGAGAAAGCAAAATGTGGATACACATTCAAACCAATGAGTGCTTTTTGAGGATGGTGTCATCTGGGAGATAGGAGGAAATAGATGAGGTGATGGTGGTATGAAAGCATAAACATGAAACACTTGTTAAAAAAAATAAATAAAAATTCAGGTGTCATGAAGAAAGTTGTGGTTATGGAAAAGGCAAGGTCTAAAGCTTGTATTGCCGTTTGTAACTAGTGAAGGAGGAATTGGGGTTTTATGGCCTGCCACTTCAGCATGAAAAGACCGGAACAGTGGAACTGCCCTTTGAGGAATATGCTGGCGATGTTACCTGCTTGCTGTGTGTGGGAAAGAGCTCAGTAGTGGGAGAAGGGAGTACACGCATTGGAACTTGCGCTTTGAGCAGTCACTTGAAAACTAACGGTGCTGTATCACAGTAATGGCGTATTTGCTGTATTCAGCAAATAGGCACTCTTCAACAGGGGAGTGAGGGATCATAAATTGGTCACCAGCTAAATTGGATTTTAAAGATGAATCATTATGTACATAAGATGTAATCTGCCTTAAAGCATGACTCTCAAACCTAATTGTCAGGAATGCTTTATAAAGGAAGAAATGTGAGAATGGCATGATACCTAAAAATTGATAGAGCTACAGTTAGAGTCATTTCGGAATGCAGCAAAATACAGAAAAAGTACCCTATAGTCTGCAGCCAAAAATGACAGCATTGGATGCCAGCAGCTCTCTTCCTTTAGAGAGCTGGAGGAATTCCTATAGCTCATGGAATGTGCCTATTTCTAAATTACAAACTCCATGAAAAGCAGTATCATGCAGTGCAAAATGCTACCAGTAGCAGCGCCTAAAGCATTGGGAATGTCAAAAATAAGTATCCGACTACTAAAATGTACACAAAGGATCTGACCGAACTCCAGGAGTGTATTGGCTCACTGAGCATCTCCTATGGTTTGGTTATTGTTAATAAGCAGCAACCAGCTACTTTGGCTAAAGGCTGCTCCTTTTCAGCAAGCAACTGTGTAAATAAGTCTATGGGATGTATCAGAATCTGCAGAAATTTACTACAGAACAGCTTTCCCTTCATTGCTTTCAACAGGATTTATTATTTCTGTTAATAAATGTTACTGACAAGGGTAGGTATTTCCACATGCTGTGTTTTGTATGTGCTCTTTCTTGAATAAAGATGAGGATGTGAAAAACCTAGCTGTTGCACATCAGGTCTGTAGTCTCACCACAAGGTTCCTTGACAGCTTGTACTTTTGCAAGAGCTACAAAGGCAGGGTGGCCTTGTTGCACTGACTGGTACAGCACTTACTGGACACGTGATATTCCACACTGTGCTCGAGTGACTCCTGGACAACATAAACTCTATTAGTGATTATGCACTTCGGAAGTGGGAAGGGACCAGTCTCCATCTTTTGCTCACTGCAGTTCTATGAAAAGACTGGGTGCTCTTGACAGCATCTAGTGAAGCTGCTTGGATGGTAAGTCAAAAAGTTGCCAGTCCTAGCTAGGTTAGCCTCTTCTGGAGGAAAAACAATGTCAAAGACCAGAGAAATGGGTAATGCAGCAGCAATATTTGGTAAGTACTTTGTTAGATACTCTAAAAGGATCTGTATATGACTTGCATGACAGGGTCAGAAGGGTATGTTTGTGGCACATGTTCCGGAGTGTAAAGGTGCCACCTTTTTCTCCTTTGGGCTGATGCCAATATGAAATACGGAAGTTTTTGAGGAGATAACTGCTATCTGTATATCCAGTAAAATTGGTGAGAAATGAGTTGCTCTTTTGATTCCTGGGATGAAATAAAAGACTAAAGTTCCAGGATTGTGGGTGGCACTTCAGGTAGCCGAAGTGCTTCGTGTCAATCTTGTTCTGTATGTCCTAAAACATTCCTTGGGGATGGTTTCTGATCTATGATTCACAGAATTAGATGAAGGGTGCCTGAGAATCATGTTACCTTGCATATCGGGTGGTGGAGGCCTGTCTCCAGGACCAGTGTTTAATCATGAAAAAGATGAACCTCTCACTTGGCGTAGAAAAAGGTAGATGTGGCCAGTGCTAAGGCAATATTGGCTATTGCTTGCAAGCCTTCCTGTATGAATGCTCCTGTGCTTTAGGCTGCAGAAGATGGGTAACCAATGAAAAATGTGTATTGGTAGTATTTAAGATGGAAAGAATAATACTTGTAATGGCTTTTTTGCTCGGTGGGAGGGGGAATAATGTGTTTGCAAACCACTTGTGGATTTAATTCTTCTGGTATGTTTTTTAAGTGATGAGATGGTTTATACAAGCGATCGAGAAAAGGAGATGTAGCTGTGAAGAGTTCTGTGACATGTCTGGAACATGTGGCATGAGATTTCTCTGCAAAAGTACTTCATTAAACCTCAGTTTACAAAACAGCTTGCTAGAGTCAAAGCTTTGACTTGTGCAGTAAACAGCATGAAAGCACTTCGCTTTTTTTGTGCTTTAGTCTGGTGAAATCTTGCACTAACCATCATCAGTGTTCAATGTAGAAGTGTCACATGGCTGTTGGGCTGTGGTCCAAGAAATCAATGGTTAGACAAACTTTGTTCTGGAATATTGCCATGTATCGGTCTTAGTAACTGGGGAAAAAAAAAAGCAGAGCCTTTTTTGAGTTAAGTGAGCGGTGGCCTTAAAACCAAGAGGAGTACCTTGCAACCCCAACGAATATGCAAGAGTAGCTCTGCATAAATGCTTTGTTACTGTTCTAAGTAATGAGGTTGCTGTTGAGGTGGGAGGTTTTGCCTGTTGCTGAAGAACTTGTCTTGCTGGTGGAGGCTGTAGATCTATAAACAGAGTTGCAAGTGAGCGAAACTACGCTAGCAGTGGTTACCTCGCCACAGCACCCCCACTGCTATGTTGAGTGGGTCTGCTGGTGTGAAGCCTGCTTGAAGTAACAGATCCTAGTGAGCAGAAATTTCGGCGTAATCTGTACTGTCAGGCTACCAGCCTGCAGAGCAGTGTGCTGCCTTGGCTGCAGCTATGTCATGTGCCAGCTTCAGTGACGTGCCGCCTTCTGGCGCAGGCAGGCTCTTAATTGTATAAACTTGCCTTAAAGCTTGAGTATGAGATTTAGCGATTAAAAACAGGCATTGAAATTAAATAACAGTTGTGAGAGGGACTCCTTAATGGACACAGCAGTGAGCAAAGTGTTAGACTTTGCCCAAGAAAGGTACTCTTACTGGCGAGTATTTAACCCTGACTTTGGGTCAGTAGTTTTTCTGCACACCCCCTCGCACAGTTCAGAGGACAACATTTGCGTTATAATCTGGAGTACAAATTAATTTAGCAGATAAATGGTAATTTCAGGTGAGTGGAGTACAGATGGAGGCCTTCGTATGCTATGTAAATATAAGTGTCCAATGATTTACATTCCCTGTACTTTTTGTTATTGGAAACCAGTATTACAAGCATTTTTGCTTGTCTGCTCTTGTGTATTTCCCTCAGAGGATATAAACTGGAAAAGTAAAATTAAAATGATGAATTCTGTTTTCTTTCAAACATCATGTGGCTTTTAGTTGATAGTCCAGTTGAGCTATCAGGGCTATGAAGACAGTACTTCTCTGCCTTTGTCTCAAACTTCCTGCAGGCTCCCAAGGACAAAGTGGTGTTTGATGCTCAGAAGAATGGCTGTATTGAGTGGGACAAAGTCTGCCTCGCTCAGTATTCTGTCTGAGGATGACCAGTATAAGAAACAGGAGAAGTATAGAGAGCCTTTCCAGCAGTTTGCCTGGGAATTTCCTGAGGAGATTTTCATTTGTATTTGACTACTACGTGGCAATTACAACCTATCTCCATTTAAAAAGATGTGAAACATGAATATGTGGGCTGTAAAATATATGAAGTAATGTGTATGTTAGTAACTGCGGGGGGAGGGGGGGGTAGGAGGGAGCTGAAGTAAAAAGCTTTTTTTCCCTCTTTGAAGCCAATGTTGCTTTTAACTCTCACATTAATGAAAACAGTGGTAAGTGGAGTCCAGTTAAGGCCCCAGTGCTAGGCCAACTTTACTGTTTAATTGAGCTATGTAGGAGGTGAAAATTTGAAGTATTGGTGTGTGCTCTTACCTTCAGTACCCCTGAGCTACACTTCATACTTCAGGCTTCTCACCAGACCAATAACCACTATTTTTTTTTCCCTGTGTTTGGAGTTCTCAGTAACTGAAGGAACATTGTCCCAGCAATGACAGTACTAGTTTTATGGTTGCAGGTAAGGAATGATTAAAATCTGTCTTAAAGTTCAGTCATTTTATATATGTGGAAAGAAGCTAGAAAGAGATGAATGGAAGGAAATAAAACATGCTTAGAGTGTATTTTGAAATTACTAAGTTGATTGAAAAGTGAAGGTGGTATTTTTAAATCATCTTAAGATCATTGAAGAGGGGGAATATACAGCTACCGTTAAATTGGTGTACTTCATGTTACCTTGACAAAATAAGAAATAATTTTCCCTAGCTTTAGTTGTTTGTGTTTTCATTCAGAATGAGGGGTGTTGCAGATACTATAGAGTCCTGAAAGAAACATTTGAGACTTAAACTCTCTAAAGTGTTAGCTCTGTCTGGTAGTTAGGTCATTTTCTGCAGCAGAAAATAAAGCAAATTGCTTCACTGTCTTGGCTTAATTTCTTGCACTCAATCAGAAAAGTGCAATATTGAAACAGTGGGTGGCAGTTCTTAATGTCATTTGGGCTTCACAAGTTAAACAGTTCAGAGTATGCTTATTCATTCTCTGGTGTATCTCAGAATAAACATTTTCTGCGAAGAGTTGGATTATATAGTTTTCTGGTTCTGCAAGTTTTATTAAGTTACCTATTTGCTATTGCAAAGAAAAAAGGTTTGGTTTGTGGGAATTAATGCTCACCCCTCTTCCTGTTTTACAGATTATAAACCACATAATATAAAACAAGTTTAACGGCAGGAACAGGAGTTACCTTCAGAACATCTTAAAGTAATATTTTATAATAGTATCACAGTGCTGAGAATGTTTCCCCCAAAAAAAACTTCGGGGGGGGGGGACGGGGGGGACGACAGTGTCTGGGTTTTTGAAAACATGTTTTTGAAGAAGTACTCTAAGAGTTGCCAGAATTGGCTTGTGTTCATTTACTTGAAGTTAACAAGTTCCATTGCTAGTGAAAAGTCGTTTAGCATAGTTTCTGCTAATGTGATGTACAGGCTGTAAGGCTGCTGAAAACCTTTTTTTCCATGTAAAGGGATCTTTATATGATCACCCTTTGGCAGGGTTGGCTGCAAGGTGTTTTGCTGTGTTTTTGCCTTTCAACTGCTATGACAAGATGACTGGAAGTAGTATGAATACTTTCTCCTGGGAGTTCCATGTAGTTTATAGTTTTTTAATTAGAAAAGCAAGACTGAACAATTGTAGCAACTGCGAGATGTATTTTCTATAAAAGTGCAGCCCCATTATGAGCCATGCTGGATATGGGAAAGTCCAAAGCTTTTAGCTTACAAATATGAAGAAAGATGGTTTGCCAGGAGTTCCACAGATTTGGAGAGACATGGGGAGACCTCACCTGTTCTTGTGAGGATCCAAAATTACCAAGAACTGAAGACTAATGCTACTGCCTGATAAGATGGCAGGAGGAGAGACATCCTTTTAGATGTTCTCCCCCTATTTCTGAGAGTATGCTTAAAGAACACTTAAACCTCTTGGGGTTGTCTGTGGCAGCCTATGGTGCCTAGGACTTACCATAGGGAGAGGAGATAGTCCTGTAAGGAAAGGGTAGCCTTTGCATATAAGACTAGCAATCAGGGTATCTGGATATTAGACTTTTTAAGTGTGAATTGAGTCTTACTGGATGAGTAAAAAGTCAAATACTTAACTAAATAAAAGATATTCCACGAAAGGAATCAAAAAGTAGAAGTTGTTGAGAATAAAGATTTTTGTGCTCAAAATCCACACTGCTACATCATCTGCAGTGACACCAGCCTAACTTCCTACCCTCAGAGATGAAACACCCTGTAGTGCTCCCAGCCTCTGGCCTCAGGGCAGCAGTTTTGAGGCTGTGACACACATACTGTGGGTGATGTCATACTTTGGCCCTTTTGATTTCAAGTTTTAAGTTCCTCTAGCACGGTTATGCGGAGGGCCTTCTGAGCAACTGTCATTAGTGAACTGTGGTGTAAGGACCATTGTCTACCTGATGGCTGTTACCTGACTCTGCTAACT